AATGATAGAAATATAGATGGGGAACAGCTCAGTGTCACCATACACTGTGATTAAATAAGAATGATAGAAATATAGATGGGGAACAGCTCAGTGTCTCCATACACTGTGATTAAAGCCGGAAGCTGCAATTAAATGAGGTTTTTAGACAGGCCGCACAGGGCAGGCTGTTGTGGGGCATAGAGGACTCATCCTGGGGGGCTGGGCCCTTTGGCGCCTGCAGTGTCCTGGGACACAAGGGAAAAGGCGTCTCTGACAATGTGGTACTGTGTGTAGAAGATCTGGAGGTAAAGAGAGGACTTAAAGTGCATCATTTGCTTATTGGTGCAGGCTCCTGTAATGCCACGTGAGTCAGGTGATGAGAATGCATTCCAATTTTCACTTTCTAATAAACACACTCCTTGACCTGCTGCTGTGGGACTGATGGGATTATCCTGATAATTAATCCTGTGAGTTGCTGGAGGTCTAAAAAAATACAAAACAAAAGAAAAGTCTGGACCCTGAGTAGTGCTGGGCAGTACACCGGTTCATACCGAAATCCGTTTTTTATTATTGTTATGATATGATTTTTTCTTATACCGCAATACCGATTTAAATAGCCTACACAACGTTCGGAAAGTGGCGCAGCTGGAAACTTTAAGGGGGGACCTTTTTCACTGCTGCACCGCTAAAAACGTACCTTAATTATTCCTTGTTCTAAAGATCAGAAACGGTAGATATAGCTGACGCTGGTGAAAATGAGACACTGGGGTTGTCAAAAATCGATTCTCAGATACTAATCGTTATTAAAAATTAGTATCTTATTAGATACTCATTTTCACCATTATTGATACCAACAGTGCGGTTTTCGCCATTCGCCACACTTCACACAGCACCGCTACAGCGCAGGCGCGCGTACACACACACACACACACACACACACACACACACACACACAAAAAAGAAAAAAGTGCAAAGCTGCCGTTTGGAAGTATTTTGCAGATGAGCATGGAAAGGCTAAGGATGCCGATAAGCCTCTATGCAAACAGCACTACAAAGTTATAGCGACGAAGTCAAGTAGAACGTCAAACTTGGCGAAGCATCTTAAAGACCGACATCCCGGACCACAGTTGCTATTAAGCTGCGTCAGAAAAATGGATGAATAGTTAATGTGGGAGCAATGCAAAAACGTAAAACAAAATAATGTCCTGTAAAATGTGGTAGAGGCCCGGTCATACTTAAAAAAAAATACCGCCGTATACCGTTATAACTTCGAAAAATACCGTGATATAAATTTTTGGTCATACCGCCCAGCTCTAACCCTGAGACCCACGAGGGCTGAACTTCAGAATGAGGTGTATTGGCTATGTACTTTCAGACCTAAAAGGAGTGTGTCTGCTAAACACGGAACAGAGAGACTTAAAACATCTCACACTCAACTGAAAGCCAACACAAGATCATACGTAAGTAAAATAACTGTTTCAGTGGGACCACTGCTCAGGAAAGTGTATCTTTTGTGTCTTGATGTCCTGGAATCTCATCCCAGAAGATAGATGCTGTGGGCAGGGTGAGGGGGTTAGGAATGATCCCAATTTGTTTCTTGGCCCTGGGGGCATAAAGGTGTTGAGGGAGGGCAGGTCACAGCTGGCGATCTTCTGAGCTGCACTGACAATGCGTTTGAGACTGGGCTTCTCCCGTATTGTGATGGACTTGACTGTCAATGCAGACGTGAGGATGGACTCAGTGATGGCTGTGTAGAGCTGCGATTTCTTCAGCTGCTGTAGAAAGTACATCCTCTGTGCTTCCTTGGTGATATGGTCAGCTTGTGATATATATATATATAAGGATATAAAAACATAAGACTAATGAATAATGACTTAAAACTGATCAATGGATTTTGTGAAAGAAAACAATGCACTTCTACTTCCCATCTCAACCGTGTCATGGTCCACTGGGAACAACATTCCTCATGTATGAACAAAAAAATAAAAACAGAACTTGTAATGAAAACTGTTCATTTTCTCAATTCCTAGCAGAGGCAGGCAATTCCACAAACTGCCACACAGTGGCAGGCTACTTTTGTACGTCAATGCACTGCGTCTGTGTGGTGGTCTTTAGTATTGACTGAAGTACTGAATTCCAGTAGTGAATTCAATTTCCTTGCTGGTATTGAAAGTACTGAAATCCCCACTGCAAAGCATCAATAAACATTTAACTTGTGTTTTTTTTTTGCCTTTCTGTGCCCTTCTTTGAGATAATATGATTTAAGATTTATATACACCATTTCAGACACTCACGCAAGAAATCTAACGGCAAATCTATATTATCCCATTAAAAACCTAAAAATATATCAAAAGCATTGGGGTAGTTTGCCAACCATACAGACTATGTGCAATGTAATAAAATTGTTACATACATGTAAATGTGTGTGCAGACTTCTCTCGAACTGAATATCTCATGCCAGGCAACTGACCAAAGTTGGTAACCCCTTTCTAAACATTTTATGGACCGTTTTATAGAGAGGGTGCTGTGGTAAATGTTATGTTTGACAATGTTCCAAAAAAAATCATGTTCTGTTATAATTTCGATCCGCTTGCGCTGAGTAAACACTCAGATGTGCTACAATGTGATTTTTTCTTTATTTTCCCCCAGTGCTCTGACACTCAGATGTGCTACAATGTGANTTTTCTTTATTTTCCCCCAGTGCTCTGACACTCAGATGTGCTACAATGTGATTTTTTCTTTATTTTCCCCCAGTGCTCTGACACTCAGATGTGCTCCAATGTGACTTTTTCTTTATTTTCCCTCAGTGCTCTGACACTCAGATGTGCTACAATGTGACTTTTTCTTTATTTTCCCCCAGTGCTCTGACACTCAAAAATGGATAACGGTCAGGAAAGCCAGCATACTGGAAATCACAAGGCCGACATTCCGAAGCCCACAGAAAAGGTGAGATGCACCATCGCTGCCTCCAGACCTGGTGTCCCTGAGGAAATGTGTCCCCCCCCGTCAGCCCCGAAGGTGCCGGGGCACCTTTCTCGTTTTCAGTGAGACCCATCGCTGTAGTGCTCTGGCTTGTCTCCCAAATAAGTGATGAGGTGCTCGCTGCGATCAGCCCCTTCGCTAAGCTGGGAAATTGCTGTCATGGTCACCGTGGGGTTGCCCCTTCTGAGTGGGCAATTACATGTCATTGGGAATGGGCAGGATTACCATGGAATGGAGGCCCCTCCCTCACTTTCTACCTTCAGACTCTGACTCAGACTCTGTGTAGTTCACAGTCTTCTGCAGTCTTTCTGGGAGCAGAAACCTGGACCGTCTGGCAGGGATGTTTCATTTTGGCTTAAAATTCTTTTAGAAATTTCCCTTAAACAGATTCAGATTCAGAAGGTGATCAACTGAATAGACTGTAAACTGACGGACACCGACAGGATTCATGGTCTTCAGGTGTTTCTTTTCTTGACAGCAGTCAATATAACAACTGAACTAAACATCTGAACATTTCTTTTTATGACAATTATCCAAAAAGTGTGCAGCTTTTGTCACTTCAGTGTATCTTTCTGGGCTTCTGGAAGAACATTTCAAGAGCCTCTTGATATGGGAAGTCAGAAACGTCTGGCTCATTTACTGAGATCCGCACGCAGGCTGCAAGATGGTCTCCTTGCAGCCTATTGCTGATGTTTGTCTTGACCTGCAAATACATGAACTGTTAGGCTTTAAAAGTGAGCTGATAGCTTAAAATACTGGTAGTTTAAAGCAGAAAATCCCATTGTGAAACGTATTTATTACCCTGTTCGTGGGTGAGAAGTCCCTCTCACAGTTTACACTGCTGACTGGGTGGTTGACGCGACATATTTTCTCTCTGTCCGCTGGTGGACGTGTGCTCACCTGTGTGTGCTCACCTGTGTGTGCTCAGCACGTGTTGAGTGCAGGACTTTATTAAACTGCAAAACGTACCAACACACCACTGACATCTTCTCACTGTTTTATCTCCTTATTAAAACGATGTGGCTGCTAAGCTGTTACGTTCGTCACGGACGCTGAGGGAGTGCTTATCGCTTACGTAATATATTATTAAACCAGTACCGTGTGGCTTCTCCAACTTAATCAACCTTGCTGTGTGTTTCTAGGGCATAGGTTGCCTGTTTTTAAAAGACTACCACGTGATTGGTGGAATTGCACTAATCTCTGTGGTGTGATGCTGATGTGTGCTATCAAGCAATGTTCCGTATAGGTAGTTTATCTAAATGTCTTGTTTTCTTATCGTTTACATTTTGTTTGATGATAAGTTGATATAAATTGGCTTATGTCACCCAGTTCTATCCCCTTGGCAAATTTCACTGATGGGCTTCATGTTAGGTTTGTGGCCTGCTACTGCACCATGGACCAGTGCTTAAGAAACACATTAATATGCAATAAAATAGCTAAAGAATGTGCAGAGTTTTGTGAAAGCTGATATTCAAAAAATGCAGTGTACCCTACAGTAGCCAGGCTGCTGATATCCAATGAAGCGTCAACCCTCTATCTTAAAACTGGGTCATTCCATGTTAAATCATCACACTTTCAGACCTCTCACCTATGTCGTGCTGCCGGGCGCCTGACCTCACAGTCACCTGACCGCTGTCACTCCCGACACCTCCGTCGTGCTGCCGGGCGCCTGACCTCACAGTCATGTCAGTGTCACTCCCAGCACTGTTTCCAAATGCTGCATCTCCTTCAATGATGTCATCCAGGGCACTGCCCCTGGCGTAACCTGCTGGAGAGGGGAGGCAGTAGTTAAGCCCTGGAACATGTGGGGCACCTTCCACGGAATACCAGAAAGGGTTCTGGTCACTGCCATCAACCCAAAAGCGCTGTGGCCAGCAGCCAACACATCTTCCTTAGTTACTCTGCCCCTGCTGGCAAAAGCAGGCTTTCTCTGTTAAACAGGAGCAATTTCTTTATTTCTGTCCGTAAGCTCATCCTTTGTAATCCAGGGCAGTGACTGTTTTAAATATAAAGGTCTTGCTGAATGCTGTGTGAAGTGACCCTCACCCCTGATTTCTGCACCCCCTCACCCCAGATTTCTTCTCCCCAGCGCCTCACTGCCTGCCTGGTGTCCTCTGCCCTTTTCGGCTGCCTTGGCTCCTCCTTCCTCTATGGCTACAGCCTCTCCGTGGTCAATGCTCCTGCTCGGGTGAGTACCACCAACAGCCAGCAGGTGGGGTAGCAGGCAGTTGCTGATGTGGCAAAAACGTGGACTGTGCAGGAACCTCAGAGCCTGGGATGAGGAACACTGCTCTAAGTGGCCAGCTATGTCACCTAGAGGATCGACTGGCCCTTGCAGCAGCAACAGATGGGCCCCTGCTAGTGTGTCTTAGCTTTCTGCGTCGTTTAAATCCATCCGCCTCCTCATCACCTCCTTTTTCAGTCACTTTAATCACTGCAGAATGGCACGATCCTTTCTAAGATCCCCTTCAGGCCGGTAAGATTACGGCTGTGCATATAAGCAGCACGCCATGTAAACTCTCTGATGTGTAGCATAGTGGCACCAGATTCTGTTAAGAGGTGCTGGGGACTGAAGCATGTCCTTAAAATAGCTATTGGGTCAAACGCACATGGAGCTGGAGGGAGCAAGTCCCCATGTCCGCCAAGACCCAGGCCTCACGTGGACTTTCTGTGGGGAGGGGCGTTTCCCAGGTTGAGGAAAGACTGGGAGAGAGTGGGAGTAGGATGAACATGTGTGCAAATGGTAACTGCAAAAAGCTTAGAAACGTTACAAAATGAAGGCCTAAAGTGTGGTGGCTTGTCATGGTTACGGGTCTTAAGTGTTAAAGCACCATGACGTACTCCCCTTTTTGGACTGAAGCTTGACACCTCGCCGCGATGCATAATTATGGCTGATACACATACGTCAGGTGTATAATGACGCAAGCTCAATGATCGGTAATGTTTTGGATCCAGTGCAGGAAGGAGGAGGTGCTGAGGCGTGGCTGAGGTGACCTCAGGAAAGCTGGATGCCAGGTGCGTGATTTCAGGTAGTTTTCAGAGAGGTGTCGTGGTCCAGGCTGCCGTCACCGTCCAATGGATTAGTGACAGTGCCCCCTGATGGATATGGGGGGCACCTAAATGGACATGCAGATGTTGTGGCTCTTTCAACTAGAGTCCTGAAGCAAAAACCATATTTAATTTTAGCTTGGCAGTTCAGCTCTGCACACAACTTCTCTTCTCCAATCGAACAGGGCACACACTCACATCTAGTGCTAAGGCAGTGAGTACAGATGAACAATTTCTCGGGACGACTGTAGGGGCTTTTGGGTTGAATCAGACAGCTGCACAACCTTGAGGTACTTAAGTCTAAACTTTGCAGAATGTTCTTGAGCTTTTGCAGCCGCGTTTAGTTTTGCAGCTAATTAATTCTTCTTATCATTGTCAAGGTCTGAACGGTTAGTAAAACAAGGACGGGTTTCAGTTCCCTGCATCAATAGGATTTAGCTCACAGCTGAATACATTTTAGCAAGCCCTAGTTTGTTTGCAAGCAAAAACAACTCTAACTGAAAACAAAATATGGCTCGGATACCCTTGGCTTCCTGCAGTAGAATTACATCATGATCATACAGTCTTTGCATGTAGCGGGGTTAGCTACCATTCTGCTTTCCTTCCATATGCCTCGTCCCCTAACTCTCCTGCTGTCTGCGATCTCACAGAATAAGCAAGTATCTATTCTGCATATGAATAAATAATGTACACAGGGCACAGCTGCTGTGATGTAACGCTGTCGCTAATTTCCCCACGCAGCGGTGTGTGAGTCACAGGGAGGCGGCTTGGCCTCTTTTGCGGTGAGACATTGTGAGAAGTCTAGGCAGTGATGGATGGGCCCCTTCGCCATCTTTAAGGTGATGAATGCATGTGGCACACAATTGCTTGAGTCTGTTAGCAGGTTAGCATGTTCGGCGAAGCATGAGATGCTGCAAGATAAACTGTTCCACTGCCTTGACTTGTGTTGGGGAGGGTAGGGGGGCTGTTCCATTTCCACCAGGAGTCGGGTAACAACAGAGACTAACTTAAGAACATAAGAACTATACAAACGAGAGGAGGCCATTCGGCCCATCGAGCTCGCTTGGGGAGAACTTAACTAATAGCTCAGAGTTGTTAAAATC